CCCAAGGGGAACGTCAAGGGGGCCCCCGAGGGGGCCCCCCAGGTACCCTTCAAGCGTGCCCCCACCCAGGGGGCCCCCAGGGGGGCCCCCACGGGGGCCCCCTGGGGAGACCCCCGGGGACTCCTCTGGGGCCCCCTCGAGGGCTCTTAGCGGGAAAGCAGCAGCTGGAGACTGGAGTGTTTGCGGGTGAGAGCGACTGCTGCTCTGCTGCTGCTGCTGCTGCTGCTGCTGCTGTTGCTGCACGCCCTGTGGCCCCCCCGCTGCTGCTGCTGCTGCTGCTGCCTCTGCTTGGGTTTGCTGCCCGCTTTTCTCTTTGCTGCGGTGAGAAGAAACACAAAGCCGGGGGGAAGAAGCAGCAGTGGGGGGTGTGGGGCCCTCAGCCCTGAACTCCCTGCAGTCCTGCTGCTGCTGCTGCTGCTGCTGCACTGGCGCAGCAGCAGACTGCAGCAAACCCTCAGTCGGGGGGCCCCCAGGGGACAGAGGGGCCCCACCTCCTTCTTCCCCACAAATGGGAAAAGCAGAATCCATGCTGCTGCGCAGCTCCTCGCTGCTGCTGCTGCTGCTGCTGCTGGGGCAGCGCAGACTGGGAAGGTGCAGACGCCGCATCCTAAGGCTGCTGCTTCCGCTGCTGCTGCTGCTGCAGTGGCTTGCTGCTGCTGCAGCGGTTTGTTGCTAGTGTGGTGGCTTGCTACTGCTGCAGTGGCTTGCTGCTGCTGCAGTGGCTTGCTGCTGCCGCAGTGGCTTGCTTTTACAGCAGTGGCTTGCTGCTGCTGCAGTGATCTGCTGCTGCAGTGGCTTGCTGCTACTGCAGTTGCTCGGTCCTGCAGTCGTGGCTAGCTGCTGCAGCACTGGCTTGCTGCCGCAGCAGTGGCTCGCTGCTGCTGCAGTGGCTTGCTGGAGTGGCTTGCTGCTGCTGCAGTGGCTTGCTGCTGCTGTTAGAAAACCCTCAGTACCCTCTGAAGCTTAAGACAATAGGGGGCCTCTGGGGGGCCCCTAGGGGCCTCTAGGGGCCCCTGAGACACAGGGGGCCCCCCGGAGGCCTCCGGGTGGCTGTCGGCTGCAGGGGGGCCCCTGGGAAGCCGCGGGAAAGTTTTACTGCTGCAGCTAAAAGATGAAAGGAATACCATTAATTCATTGTTTTGCAATTCTTAACTCACTGATGCAGCAGCAGCAGCAGCTGCAGCAGCAGCAGGAGCAGCAGCAGCAGCAGACGATGCAGCGAGAGCAATGGGTGTACGCGGCTGCAGCGCTCGGCGTACGAGAAAAATAAAACACAAACCCCCGAACCCTAAACCCTAAACCCTAAACCCTAAACCCTAAAACCTCAATTTTTTAAATTAAAGATCAGGAGAGCCGCAAATTTTCTCATTTAAAGTGCTGCTGGGGGCCTCGGCAGCTGCGGCGGCAGCAGACCACCGCCGCAGACGGGCCCCCCAAGCGG